GTTGACCAGGATGGTCTCGATCTCTTGACCTCGTGATCCACCCGCCTCGGCCTCCCAAAGTGCTGGGATTACAGGCTTGAGCCACCGCGCCCGGCCTTATTTTTCTTTTTCTTGTTCTCTTTTATTTTTTTTTCTTTTCAGACATAGACCTTATTCACCATTTTCATCCATGTCTGTTTTCAGTCTTTAGCCACTCCCAGTTTCAACTCCTTTCTCTGCTTTCGCTTTCATCTCTAACCATTGTTCTGTCCTTTTTGTGTGATTGCTCCCTATTTCCTAGTCATTGGAAATCAGCAAGCCACAGATGCCCCGAGATCTCCAGGACTCCAGATCTAAATCCTAACAGGATCTCAACTGTCGGGTTACAGCTTAATCCCAGGCAGGTCTGTGCAAGTCAGGGCACACACATGGACGGTGAGATCCAGACGTGCCATGGATCTTAGACAAAGAGCAAGCAGAGGGGACCTCATGGGGTCAGATGGTCCCTAGCTTCCGAGTGAGACTGTCCGGATGTTGTGCGTGCTATTCCTGCTGTAGGGAAAGCACCCCATCTCCCTGATCTCTATTCCTCCTGCCCAGAGTCACTTCTGGGGAAAGGCTTTGCTGCTGCTCTGGCCTCCCCCCTCTACTCTGTAAGTGCTCCTGCCTCTGTGGTCCCATGCGAACTTGTTTTTTTTGTTTTGAGACAGAGTCTCGCTCCGTTGCCAGGCTGGAGTCACTGGGGTGATCTCAGCTCACTGCAACCCCCGCCTCCCAGGTTCAAGCAGTTCTCCTGCCTCAGCCTCCTGAGTAGCTGGGACTATAGGCGCGCCACCATGCCCAGCTAATTTTTGTATTTTTAGTAAAGACAGGGTTTCAGTATGTTGACCAGGATGGTCTCGATCTTTTGACCTCGTGATCCACTCACCTCAGCCTCCCAAATTGCTGGGATTACAAGTATGAGCCACTGCACCCGGCTGGGTGAACTTTCATCATGGCACTGTCCATGCTGTGCTGTAAGGCTTACCTGTCTGCCCTTCCCATTAGGCCAGGGGTGTCCAATCTTTTGGCTTCCTTGGGCACCTTGGAAGAAGAATTGTCTTGGGCCACACATAAAATACACTAATGCTAACCATAGCTAATGAGCTTAAAAAAAATTGCAAAAAAAATCTCATAATGTTTTAAGAAAGTTTACAGATTTGTGACCTGGGCGTGGTGGCTCACGTGTGTAATCCTAGCACTTTGGGAAGCTGAACCAGGTGGATCACTTAAGTCTGGGAGTTCAAGACCAGCCTGGCCAACGTGGCGAAAACCTATCTCTACTAAAAATCCAAAAATTAGCCAGGCATGGTGGCACGTGCCTGTAATCCCAGCTACTCAGGAGGTGGAGGCAGGAGAATTGCTTAAACCTGGGAGGTGGAGGTTGTAGTGGGTCAAGATTGCATCACTGCACTCCAGCCTGGGAGAAAGAGCATGACTTTATCTAAAAAA